GAGTTTGTAGCCTATAGACAATTCAGAAAGTCTTCTACTCTTTTGTATCCAGCAGACTGCAATACTGTTATCTCAAATCTGCGGTGACCCACATCAGTAGTTTCTGCATTACTCATTGTATTCTTCTTGTTCTAAAACCATCACCTCCACTCCACTCCAGTAGAATCCTTCATGTCTTCAGCCCATTTCTTTGGCCACTAGAGCTTTGTATTTTGTATATTCAGTACATAGTTCAGATTTGGAGCATGTCTCCTCAGCGTTCACCGGGCTAGTCATCCAAATATGGGCCGTCTGTGGTTTTCTGGGGCGTCGGGTAGGAGTTTGAGGTGGGTTTTATTCAGCCAACTCTGACAGAACGATGGTTACACAACCCTGCTGGCCGCGGGATGTGAGGAGAGAGGCTGAATGGGGGGCATTTGAAAATGAAACTATTGTTGTTATTCGTGGGACACCTCAGTTTGTAACAGCCATGATTACATCCATATGTGACCACTGCAGGGAAGCTAATACCTTCAGCCCCGGGAAAAAGGAAAATCCTCTGATGCTCAGTCTATTGTTACTGTATTTACTGTAAAAAAGGATAGTAGGTCACTCAGAAAAGCAAAAACCAACCATAGACGAAACATTATTAAAACACGACTGCTTTTCTAAAGTGACAAATCGGAAACATGCATAAGCCTTTAGTTAAACTTTCTCTCCCTTTCCCTTAAAACCACAGTGTTGGTTGCTTCAGTTCAGGCTCTGGAAAAGATCAGGGACAAGCAGACTATCATCTTTTAAGCTACTTGTTCCAAAGATTGACAGACTGATCTTTCAGGCACAGCAGTCTGTCTTTCCATAACTCAAAACAGACCCGATAATGCTAGCCTGCTAAAAAGACTAGATTCATTATGGTTTGGTGCTGTTAAAAAAATAATTTACCTAAAAATTTAAATTTTCAAAAACATTTTACCAACACTCCGGTCATCCAAGATGTAGATGAGTTTGCTTTTTCATCAGAACAGATTTGGAGAAATGTAGCATTACATAACTTGCCATCACCAATGGATCCTCTGCAGTGAATGGGTGCCGTCAGAATGAGAGTCCAAACAGCTGATAAAAACATCACAATAATCCGCAAGTAGTCCACACAACTCCAGTCCATCAATTAACATCTTGTAAAGTAAAAATCTGCATGTTTGGAAGAAACAAGTCCAGTATTAAGAGGTTTTTAAGTTTTAACTTCAAACCATTGCAAGTAATGCTAAATTCCTCCAAATCTCATATACCTACTGGATGGCCTGAGAGTGAGTATATTTTCAGCAAATTTAAATGTTTGTGGTAATGCTCTTTATTACCAGTAACATAATGTTGAATTTTCAAATCATTTTGAGTAATATTTGACAGTTTCTAAATGCAACAAAACAATCATTTAATAACTGCATGATGAATTTTTTATGAACTTGAGTAGTCAGTTTTGAATACTGAGCAAATATTTTGGGTTTGGGTTAATCACACTAAATCAAAGCTTTATTGAATATATCACACACGAGTCACGCTTAATCCACTCATCCGGTGTGTATTGTCATCTCCTTTCTATTTTATGAAATGGATTGGAATATACTCACACACACATGACCCTGCGCTTTGACTGACTGCTGATGCAGAGATAATGAGATGCTTTACTGTGCTGCGAGTGGTAATTGCCTTGGCTTGGTGTGTGAAAATCAAAGCCACTCTGTGTCTCTGTGTCATTGTCATCCTGGATCACACCTGTTATCTGTCTGCTTGTGCCGACCGCAACCAGACACTTACAGTTCACACACTCTCACTTACAGTCCTCAGCTTAATCATTTCTTTTTAATTCTATCATATTCAAGTATATTGTTGTGTGCTACATTTGCTGAGGCTTTTGAAATCCAGGCACAGTGAGTCATTTTGGCTATCGAGACTTTAGACTTGCTGTCCATTTTCTCTAGTGCACAAACACACACTGGCACAGAATGACATGCTTCGCTAGCAGACAGTCCGGTGTTGAAAGGAAGAAATCTTTCCCTTATCTGCCTATCTTCATCTGTGCTTCTTCAATGGCCTCATCAGACAGAGAGAGTGTTTGCACACACATTCCAACTTCAAAGAGAAAACTTGCAGAGATTCATCAGCTATCACAGAAAAAAAGACTGATTTTAACTCCAGCTCATACATTCCTTTGTTATAAAGAGCAATTTATTAATAACTTTAATGACTTTTTCTTCTTTTGCTAATCAAATTATGTTGCAAAGAATGTTGCATGTTGAAGCATATAATATAATATAGGTAATGAAGCATTCATGCTTTTTGCCTTTAAGAAATAGTTTTAAATTTGATGAAAATGTTCTCAAACTCAGGCCACCCAAGATGTAGATGAGTTTGTTTCTTCATCAGACCAGATTTAAAGAAATTGAGCAACAAACTGTGCATCACTTGCTCATCAATGCTTCACTGCAGTGAATGGGTGCCGTCAGAATGAGAGTCCAAACATCTTACAGTAACATCACAATAATCCACAAGTAATCCACACGAAGAGCTGCTTGTTTGTAAGGAACAAATCAAACATTATAGTTTCTGGCTAAAATGGTTCTCTATCCACAATGCCACGTTTTCCCAGTAAAAAAAAAAGCTGTCTCATCTGAATCAGGAAAGAAATATGCACAGATCAAAAACCATTTACAAGCGAAGATCGTCCAAAACGGTTCTAAACATATATGTTGGAGGCTTTTGATGTGAGAGGACAACAGGGGATTGACTTTTTCACTACAGTAACATCACAATAATCCACAAGTAATCCACACGAAGAGCTGCTTGTTTGTAAGGAACAAATCAAACATTATAGTTTCTGGCTAAAATGGTTCTCTATCCACAATGCCACGTTTTCCCAGTAAAAAAAAAAAAGCTGTCTCATCTGAATCAGGAAAGAAATATGCACAGATCAAAAACCATTTACAAGCGAAGATCGTCCAAAACGGTTCTAAACATATATGTTGGAGGCTTTTGATGTGAGAGGACAACAGGGGATTGACTTTTTCACTGGAGGAAGCAATATTATGGATTATAGAATCATATTTTGGACAGAAGCAATGGTTTAAAAAAGGCCTAATGGATTTGTTTCTTAGAAACATATAGCTTTTCACTTCAAAAAATGCTAATTGATAGACTGGAGTCATATGGATTACTTGTGGATTATTGTGATGTTTTTATAAGCTCTTTGGACTCTCATTCTGATGGCACACATTCACTGCTGAGGATCCATAGAGGATCCATTGGTGGGCAAGTGATGTAATAAATACATTTCTCCAAATCTGATTTGATGAAGTAACAAACTCATCTACATCTTAGACAGCCTGAAGGTAAGTACATTTGAACAAATTTTCATTTTTGCTTGAACTATTTTGGAGACCGGATAGCAAGAATAAGTATTGTGAAAATGCCATAAAAATGTTGCTTTTAATAAACCATTCTAGTCAAAACACCAATAAAGACAGACTGCATATAGACAGTTGTATTGGGTCAGAACATTGCAACATGACTTTCCACTCTAAATTACTCTCATTCTCACTTTCTTTTTATCACACACACACACACACACACACACACACACACACAAAAGCACTAAAACAGTAAAATAAATAAAATGTTATTCACAAATCTGTCAGTGAGCATTCTTAATTAAAGGTTTGTATATGTTGTGGCTTGGATGTGTTTTGCAATTCATCCATTTATTTGATGAATAGCCCTGACTGGCATTTCTGTGGTTAGGCAATAGCTATTTTGTGCAAACTTGGTCTAACATCAGGTTGTGCTGTTTTTTGCACAAATACTCGGACACACAAGCATGCATGCAAAATCCATATTGCACTATAACTTCAGGTTCTGCTGTGTTCATAGGAAACTCACAGAGGGGCTTTACTGAGAGTGCATAATGCATTAAAATCAACAAATCTACAAATCATGCTGCACTCTGTCATTTTTACAGAAAAGTCACAACAAATCTCACATAATCCTTATGTGTTCTGCACTGACATGCCATTCTCGCTGTACTCCTCTCTCGTCAGGGCGGATTTCATACTTTGCTGAATTTATTCTATTAAAATTGTTTTTTTTAAATCACTCGTGGATTGAGCGAGCGAGTTTCACTATGCTAAATAACAACAAACACATCTGTTCGTCATTATGCACTGTGAAATGTTCTTGATCCATGCATGAGGTTGTCAACAAAAGTTAGATGTGGAGGTAAGTTGATCCAATCATGTTTATAGTACTGCAAATTGTGTTGCTAATCAGAATCCCTGAACTTATACATTGTGCAACAGAAGCCTTGTGAATTTTAGTTTTGTGAACTAATAAAATCAACATTTCACCCAGTAAAAGTTTAAGTGAAAGGAAAAGGGACACATACTTGAATAAAATGCCAACCTACTACATCCACCAGTTGGCATTGCCCTTTGACCTGAATGTTTTTGTACCTATGATGTACAGTACCAGCAATTTGGGTTTGTTTATAGAGATTTGTTTTAGTTTGGTTAATAGCTGACATCTAGCAAAGTATCCACTGTTTGCACATTTCAAAATCAGGTCTACTGTGTTATGAATACTGTGTTTTTGAATATCATAAATGCTTTTTGCATGCTATAGAGTAGGGCCCATTTGCTCCATGCTCGGGGTGAAACAAACTGTTTTTGTGACTTCTTTATATGCAGACTGTGTTTTTCCATCAGTATTTACTAAAAATAATATTTTTTTGGTCATCTTGCACTTTAGTATCAGAAAAAGACACGCTATCCATAAGAAGTGGGTTGTATCTTAATGTTGAATAAATATAGATATTATTAGTCTATAATTATAGACACATTGTTTCCTTTATTTTCAGAACAATGCACTGAAAATGTAGTCTTTATCATCAAAACGCTGTGTGCCACTGTTGTGAAGGCGTGTAGCGCGTGGGCGTCGCCCAGGGTGATAGAGAGTGAGTGAAAGCGCAGTCGTTGGCATGTTTGCGTGTAATTTAGCGAAGATAAGCGCTGCACCCCCATTACTATCATGTCCCGTGTTTTTGTTTGGATTTCTCCGCATGTATTTGCAATGCCTAATTGCGTTCAAAACATAAATGGGTGTTACTTTTAAGGTAAGTCTCCGCCCAGGGGGAGTAGCAGCGCTCCATCCACCTGCCAGACCACTTCAGCAGCAGACAGTCAGTGGACTTAAAGCGCGCTCGCTGCTGCTGCTGCTGCTGCTGCATACACGAGACGCGTTGAAAAACTCCGGGCGAGAGGGGATACGCGCGCTTCATTTGAGCTGCCACGGAATCACAGTCACATAAATTAGTTTAAAGGAGCTACTACTTTGAGGACACGTGTATGCAGTTACTTTTGACTGGACGCATTGTTTTGGTGTCTGTACGTTTTCTTTGCGCTGGATTGCAAATGATTTGTACACCGGGACACACAGGATCGATTGTGACGGACGTCTTGTAGGTGAGTTCTGCATTCGTTTCAGTTTATTTTATTATTAGCATTATTTTTATGCTTCACGTCACGACACGTACAACATCACAAATACTTGTTTGTACAGACGATCGGCAAAGTTATTATCCAAATGTTTTTATACACGCTTATTTTTAATAAGCGGCACTGAAATCCGATGAAATCGAATATTTTGAGCGATTCATTGAGAGATTTTTGCTGGAAAATGGTATGCCACTGCTATTGATAATTGAAGTTTATTTGTAAGTCATGTGCTGATGATTGTTTTTTATTATTAGTTGATTGGAATAAAAAAAAGCAGTTGTAGACAGAAATCAACCACTTTTTTCCAAATCAAACCGTTTTAATGACTGATACTTCACTGGGTTTTCTTTCTTGTCTTTTCCATAAAAAAAAAAAAATCATTTTAAAAATAATTTTATTTTAAAAAATAATTGTTTTTTTTAGAATTATTATTTCTTTTCAACACAATTAACTAAATGGCCATTAAATAGAACGTGTATTATGAATATTTTAATAATAATAAGTCAATTATGACAAAGTGGAATGTTTCCACAAAGAATTTGAAACCGTATTTGACCATTTATTGGTAGACTAAGTATTACAGAACCGATAACAAATTAAGTAGAAGTGTGTAAATATCTGTGAAGATATCACTCAAGCTGTGCTTATTGGTCTGTCTCTATTACCAATTTCCATTTTCTTCCATTCAATAAAAAGATAAGTGAATGTTTATGTGAAATCTCAATTATGAATGTATCAGTGGATCCTCACTCCCTTCTTCCCTCCCTTCCCATGCAGGACCGAATAAATCTCTTGTGGGTCTTTGGATAAAGTGATCATGCAGGGAGCCGGGACTTTGGTGCTCGGGACCCTTCTGGTGTCTGTGTTCTCAGCTGTCTCGGTCCACAGCAGCCCTTTGTCTTCCCTGCCAACCGCTTCTGCTCCACGAGTCTTCCTGTCCTTCAAAGGTAAGATGCATTTCTGTTGTATATGCTGTGTCTCACACTGTTGCTCTGTAGATGACATCCACAAATTAACATAGAAATATAAACAATCGCAGCTGATATGATATAGATTGCATGAGAAACATGCATTATTATATTTGTCCTCAGCGTTTCCAGGAAACCAGAGTCTCATTATATTAACTTTCAGTGCATATGCTTCTACTGTAGTATTAGGCAGGAGGGTTTTTCTTATTGTTTTGTGGGAATCTCTTCAGTTTTTTGCTGAGCAAGCTACTTGCCTTCTTAGGTTATCTGTCTGTTCACCTTTCTAATTCAAGGAGTTTTCACAGTCTGCTGCCTGAACTAATTTTCTTTTCTGTTGCCCGTTACTGTGTTTCTTTAATTGGTTTTTCAAACACTCTTTGGGATTGAGCATGTCTACCAGCAAAGACCTAAATTCAGAATTTGCGCTACACTCTGTGACTGGGAGTTTAACCCTTGCTGGGGGAATTGGATTTCATGTTGGGTCGGTTGGGGTTCTTGCACGGCTCTTGGTTGGATAAGCAATGCAATTAGTTTTTAGTTCTGAAGCAATATTTCCCTTGGGATTCTCTGAGCTGTTTTTTTTTTTCTGAATATCTATGTTCTTAGTAGTAGCCCATTTTCCAGGACTACGCATCCATGATTTCTTAACAGTGCAGTTTTGTTGTAATTTTATTCTCAGGAATTGCAATTGGAAGGCAGCTTAAACTATATGTTTACAATATTTTCTCCAAAATGGAGTACTGATACTGTATGCGATATTGGACTGGTTTGCTTCCCAGGACCTTTATGTCCAATCTTAGTGTACTTCTGTCAGTCAACACTGACACTGACCACTCTTTACTGCCAAGATATACACTGGAGACATACTACATGCATGCACTGGATGGGATATTCCACCTTACGATATGACAAAATATGATCTGTGAGTTTCTGGAGATTATCAAAACACTGTAAATGAAATAAAAGATCTAGTCTGCTTTATGTAGGATGTGGTGAAAGCCCTTTGGATGGATTCAAGTTTTTAGTTCTGGTTACTTCTGCTCCTCTGTCCAGCAGCCTTGATTAAACACTTGAATCATGTTCCTCCCTTGAGAGCGAACATCTTGTGAAGAAGGCTACATGTGATTAGGGCTTTAACTCACTAAACATTCTGTTCTCTCCCACAAACAGCGTCAAGCTTAGTGGGATCTTGTTTTGGTTTTGTACTTGGATGTGCCTTTAGAAAATCATTATGATGGCTAACCAAAATCCAGGCTTACGTTGTAATTGCTTGCCTCTGTGCCTTTACTCTTTGAGACACACAGGACATCCTGTTTATATCCCTCTCAGTTACTTAAATGTGACTGTTTGAGCCATGAGGTCATCATCTGTTCACTGTTGTAACAGGGTTATGCACCATTCAGAATTACACACAAAATGCCTTGTACATTTTATTTTATTTTACAGACAAACTGGGATGCACAATTGCATTTTTAATGTAAGGAAGTAGAAATAAAATGAATTTAAATTCAAATATTTTTTTAACTGTCATTTTTAACTTGAAAAGAAACATTTTTAAAGACACATTAAAATGTTGCCTTGTTCAAAAGTTATGAAAAAAGTATTTTAGGTCTTAAAAGATAAGTTCCCTGATTTTCAAGCTTTGTATTGTTACAATGTAAATGAACAATGTCTTTCTCTGTGTTGCCTGTACCTAGATATCCCTGTTTATTTGTCAGCATAAATCAGTCGGATCGACAGAGGGGATTTATGGATGTTGGCATTTTTGGCAAAAGGGAATGGCACAGCCCATTTTCTGTTTTAAAAATAAAAATTGCGTTTGTGCTGCATAAACAGCAAAAATATATTAAAAGCTATCTTGCCAGTGGTGATTAGATAGATAGATTCTTCAGTTCTGAATTTTGAACAACCTTGTGTTGTAACTTGTAATATGTTGTTTAAATGTTTGATATAGTAGTGGTTTTAATTTCATGCATGGAGTGTAATGATTCAGTTTAACTTGAGGTCCAGTTTAAGAAAAACTGCGTAAAGAAAGAAATGAATACCTTTTAAGTTATCCTCCCTGGGGGGATTCAGGCATAATTCACTAGTACGTCGCTCATACACGCAAGCTTGAACACAAGCATAAATGCACCCACTCTCACACACACATTGACTGTGGTTCACCAAGATCTCCCTCTTTCTGATAGATTCTTATTCTCCAGTTTGAGCATGTAGGGAGGGAGGGCAGGGAACTCAGCCAGACAGAGTCAGTTTTCGTCTCTGAGGGAGGACTTGGCTGCTGTTAGCAGTGTCGGTGAGTTAAGAGAGCAGATACTGGTGTCTTCTTGTGCCCTTACTCATTTCAGACAGTCCAGACCACAAGAACATCCCTGGAAGCCCAATCATCTGTAAAGTTCAAGGTCTAGTGCTCTGCAGACATGACTTATTACAAGTTCAGACACTTTTCTAAGGCTGTTCTCTTGTCTTTTCCCTTTTCATGGGAGTAACTATGATGTATTACATTTACCCTTCTCTTTCACATTCACACACTTCTTTTTAAATCCCCTCTTTCCCATGTATCTCTGCAAGCCTGGGATTTACATGCTAAAAGGTAGCCCAGAGGATTTACGAAGAGTCACATGGCAGCCTAAGTTCATTTCTTTGCATATGAGCCCTCACATAACTCCTCATTTTTGGACATGACAGTGGATTTATGGGCATGTTTATGCGTATTATATCACTTTACAGTGGTTAGGAGAACCCAGGAATGATTCAAAGAGGAATGCTTGTGTGAATTGGTATTTTGTGTGTGTGTGTTTAAAAATGGTGCCCCGTGTTTTGTTTGTGCACACTGTTTTAATTTAAATTCCATCAGTAGATTCTCTGAGGGGCAAAGCGCTTATTTCTCAATTTAGACAAATGTTCTCAGACAAAGAACACTTTAAAGTAAGTATCTCAAGGTGCATCACAACTACAATGTTGTTCTGATGGCAGTGCATAAATTATCGCAATTAAATAAGGCATTTAAAGTAATGTGCTTCATTTTCTTTTGCTGTTCATGTTAACACCTGGGTAACGTTCTTTAAAAACACTAAAGCAGTAATAGGCGATGGTCTGGATGAGAGTAAAAGTTCATTGTCTCTGGTTTGAGAGCTTTAGGAGTTATCATATAAGGTAAAGTGCTTATAGACTCTATCTTCTTCACATAGATCCATGACCCAGAATAATGCCGCACTCTAGGGCTTCTAGTCTAATAATAAATAATAAATAATAATAATAATAATAAAACTGTAGCAGCATCAGTGCAAACTGTGAGTTTCTTCTATGTTAGAGTCTCATCAGAGAGGTCGGTAGTGGTAGTTGTTTTTTTGTATTTTTTATTTTTTTTAAATGAACTTTAACTGAACATTAGATGACGGCAAAGAAAGAAAGAAGTGACTATAACCTTACAGTGCACACAGTTTCACACTTAAGGGCTTCTGGTCTAAATAAATCACAAATATTATGTAATAATAATTAAAAAATATTAAAATATAGCTACGTCAGGACAAAAGCTTCTTGGGTCTAAGATTCTCATCAAAGAGGTCAATGTGTGTCATTTAGATCCTTTATTGGTTAAATGTCTTTTTGCTGCAGGAATTTGCAGTTTGGTACTTCAGTACAAAACTAAAGATGAAAACATACTACACATATGCGTGCATTTGCATACATATGAATGGAACACAAAATCTAGTGTGACTGCCATTGTAATAAAGAAATATGAAAATGACAAATGAATGGTTTATTAGTTATTTATAGGTTAAGATTTAAGATTCTATGCTTGTTTGGGTGTGTATTAGCAGGTTTGAGTTTATCTCACTATGTGTGCTGGCAGAATAACATCAAAGATATATTTAGCTTTGACGTACCATCCTGTGAACTCGCTTAGATGCTTGATGTTTTGAAGTGTCATAAAATATCATGGTTTTGCAGGTGATGAATGGTGGTAAACCAAACCTGGCCCATCTGCATTTCTTTTTATACTGTGTTTGCTTATCAGTACTAGAAAATAGCTAATACCCAAAAGGTATATACTCAAACTACTGTACCTGCTTCCAGCAGAATTTTGATGAGCATGTTGAAAATTATCTAGAAGTTTTAAAAATGTACTCTGACCTGGGCACAGTATATGTGTGTGTGCATTTGTCTGTGCTGGAGGTTTTTTTTTTTTTTTATCTTCGAACAAGCCCTAATAACAGCCTATTTGAGGGTGCCAGAGGCTGAGGTTGTGACCTCAAAAAACAGAAGCAGGTCATTGTCAGGGTGATTCGTCCTTGCTGTGTGGGAAAGAGTGAACAAATTCCTGCTATAAATACTTGTAATGCTAATCTGCAGACCCACTTAAAAGCATTTAACTCTATTCTTGCTGTTCATTTCATTATTTCTGAGTAACACCTGGATGCGTAATTGGCCGTGTCTGAAAAAACTGCTATACAAATATATCCAAACACCCAATTAGACCATTACACTGCTGCAGTGAGAACATTATCTCGCATACAGCTACTGAAAACATTGTCCGTTACAGCTTCCAAGATCATTTTGTATTTCTAGAGCATTTTGCAATTAACATCTCATCACATTTTCAAATTCACTGGCTTTCTCTTGTTAGTTCAGAATATCCATTGTATTGTGTGGCTGAGGATGAAGCATAGTGGCTTATCTTTAAATGCTGTAAAAGCATTTTCTCTATTCCCTTTTAAAAATTCTCAATTAGTATTTATGTAAATGAGTTTGGCCTTAAGCATGATATCTGTTAGTGTTACCAGAAGATAAACAAAGAAAAAAAAGGGATGAAAAGGAATTAGCTTTCTTTAATTGTAGCGCACAGGGAACAAGAAAGAAAGAAAATTGCTATGCATTTTTCATGTTATGACTGTTTAGATAATGGATGAATCTACTTAATTTTGTGTAAATAACAAATAAAACAACACAAATTAAATAGGCCTATGCCATTTTAA